ATATATACCTACTTAATAATAATAATATAATAATAAATAATAATATAATAAAAAATTCAATGAAATAATAAATATTCTAATTATGTGGCATTCAATGTTATAATTTGACAACAAAAAAACTTTATAAAATGACAGAAAAAATATTCATAGTAAATAATATATTTATAATGATAATAGTGGCATATTCAATGTGATAATTTGTATAAAATGATAGAAAAAAATTCAAGTTTATAATAATTAAATAACTATAGGTAACGAAATAGTATAAAAAAGTCAATAAAATAATAAACATGACAGAAAAGTCATCCACAGCTTTCCGTTTTAAATTATTAGAAATGGTTACTTTTGTTAAATTTTGGCGAATGTTTGTGTTCGATAACCGATTTTAAAAGCACCGTTTCATCTTCACTCACAAACAGCTTTGACGTACACGACTTTAATGTACATCTGCCATTTCACACCCGCTTGTGTAATATGATCTTTATAAAAAGTATAATTATTTAAAAGTAACAAAACATTGCCCTTTTCACTACACACTCGCGTAAAATTTTCCATCGTGTTAACAACGTCAGCGCTTTTCGTCTACTAAAATGTATCTTTCAAAGACGTAGGTATACAACGTATCATATAATAATTTCTAACAACAATAAAACTACTTATAAAGATAGGTTTAATAAATGATAATAACTAGTGTATTCCGATAGAGCGTAATATAATTGTCGTTACTATCGTTACCCATGTGCCACGCGATAAATCGGTTATCCAGTCTTAGTCTTATACGCGTCTAAATTTACGCGTTTTTGTAAAATCCTCGCTTTGCACCAAGTAGTAGGCTATTATTATTAACACAATTTTCATTTTATCATACTATTTGTATAATATATTATATTTATTATTTATTACAAAATATAATATCATATATAATTTCAAATATCAAAATTTGATTCTATCATTTTATACTATTTTGCATTATTTTTATAAATAATTTTATTTATTATTTGTATATTTACCTCCCCTATTTTACAAGATATATATTGTAATCGTGTATATATTAACATATGAGGGCAACTGGTATATTCGGTTGGGGGCAACTGGTACATTTGATTGAGGGCAACTGGTACATTTTGCTCTAGGTAGTTTGGGGGGAATTGGTATAAAAAAAGGTACTTTTGGGGGCAACTGGTACATGCCCGACATATGCTTCCGGGACGCTATATTGTCCCGTTTTTTTCATATAATAGAAAATATGTAAAAAAAAAATTAAATATTAAAAATATAGGTAATCTTCATCTATCTGTATTAAATATCAATTACGGTCTACGGAGTAAATGTATATCGTATATAATTATGCATATTTTATAGAATAATGATGTTTTTGCCATATTATTACGATAACCGATTTGTAAGTATCGAATTCGATTATTCGAATATAAAGTTATTTTTGGTTTTCGTCGTAAAGGATCACAGCCCGCATACAGACGATTACGATCACGACGTCGCGACCGACGATGAGACATAATAATATTATAGCACAATATGTGTATATAATATTATTTGTAAATAGAATGATATCTCTCGTAGTGTCGCCGTGTCGGTGAAAATATTTATAATTTTTATACATCCCCAGTTTCTCAGTTAGTTAGTTAGCCAGTTAGCGTTTAGCATTTCGTGTGTGAACATTTATTGTGTATATCTTACAATCTATCATATCAGTTGAACTAATAAATAATAATTAAAATAATAACTATGCCTAAAAGAAAATGTGTTTTTAACGAAAGTTAAAACTGTAAAACTTACAAATACCCAAGCATCAACTTCTAACACCAGTTAAATCAAATATTCATATTACACTATATTATAGTTATCATAGTTTATACTTATAAGTACCTACAAAAAAATATTTATAATTCTTAAAATTGACAATTGTAATAAAATATCCAAAATAGATTATTTTAGTAAGTTAAATATGTATAGGTATGTTAGTAATCAATTAAGATTTAAGACTTTAAATATTCAAGAATTTCATCAAAAATAGATGTTTATTCATAATAAAAAAATTCTTATCTTTGTCCCGTATTTTCGTATTTTATATCTGGCCACCCTAAATATTGGGTATGGGAATAAAATAAAATAATTTTATTTTTAATCAAGATTAGTAATAACTAATAACATTGATTTAAATATTAAAAAGGACAAATATGAAAAAGGTAAAAAATAGATAAAAATATAAAATAAATAAAACCAGTCCGCAATTTACTGTCAGCGGGAGTGTACAAGCCTTAGTCTATCATACATAGATTAATGTACTCTCCGATTAGTGACATAATAATGTATGGTAAATTACATCATTTTCTTGCATATAAATATATAATATAATATTATGTAGATAGTTGTTTAAAACCTTAATCTTAAAAATCGCACTATTAATTGTAATTCATTGTTATGTGATTTTACGAGGGCGGGCTGATAAGTAATGCCTCTTATCTTATAGTTATTTTTAGATGTACGATAAAATTGTCATTTGTTGTCAATATAATAGTTTATGTCGTTGGTTTAGTGTGTGTGAAGAAGCGATACTGCGATAGTGTAATGTTAATATTTTATTATTTATGGAATCTATAATGACGGCTCCTTCAGATGTGCGGTTCAAACAGCGTGATGTTATTGAATTTTTCGTATTTATGGAATTTCTAAATTAGTAAATTGTTGGCAAAAATGTATCGCCTTAGAAGGTAGTTATGTCAGGCACGTAGCCAGAAAATTTCTACTAGGGGGGCCAATAATGTTTGGCCCTTTTATTACTTTCCAAAATTTTTCTTTATGAAATTCTTGTAAGGGGTATGCAATACAAAGAATCTTATTAATTTAAATAATTTACCTTTAGTTGGTAATTGGTTAAAATTATTTTTTTCACAACAAGTTATACCTAATACTTACTTATTTAAGAATTACAAAAATAGAAAGTACCTATAACAAAAAAAAAAAATAAATATAGAATTACCTACATCTTCACTTATGGGATACATTTTTCATGCTATGAAAAATAAATCTACATACATATTTAAAATAATAAGCTGCTTCAATTGTTTAACTTCAAAAATTAATTCATATTTGAATACTTATCAAAAATAATAGAGATAAATGATCATCGATTTTTAAATTAATATAATTTTTAAAGAAATTCAAATTTATTAAAAAAAAAAAAAAAACACATACTAGTAGAAAATATTAATAATACACTTATACTTATATAAATATTAAACAGTGCAATATAAAATAATTTTTCTGTTTTTATGATTTTCCGAAAAAATTGTACAAAAATATCTAGATCTAAGTTTTTAGAATTTTTTTTTTTATGCTCATTGAAGCTAAATTATTTAAACGATCATTTGTCATGCGATTCCTCAGAAAGGTTTTCAGTCGTCTCAGACATGAAAAAGTTCTTTCGCAAGCTAACTTAGCATAGACTTATAACTGCGGCTAATATATTATTGTTTTTAAAAAGGGTATCAAGACCCTATTATATTGTATTTTTTTCAGATAAAGTTATCCACGGTTCCCCGAATATAAAAATTAAATTATTACAATAATAATTGTATTACCTAATAGTAATCACAATAGATTTCTCTCAATGTGCATAATCACATTTTTGATAATTGGTAAAAATAATTATATTTTGAATTTGGGGGGGGGGCCGGCCGGCCTTGGGCCAGAGTATATTTAGGGTGGGCCCGGCCCACCCAGCCCCCCCCTGGCTACGTGCCTGAGTTATGTTGAAAAATAATAGTATGTAAATAAAAATCATTTAAATTACTATACGTGTGTTTTTCATTAATTATTCTATGTATAATACTTTTAAAACTACGAGTCAAGAGGCATTACTTATCAGCCCGCCCTCGTAAATTAACAACTATATATTTTTCCAAATAGGTAGGTAGGTACTGCATAAAATTATGTACTACATAAAATGTTACTTAGGTACTAATGATATAATTGTTTTCAGATTATTTATTAAATTACATGTTCGCACCTAGGCTTATAAAAGTCTTTGTATTTAACAATTAATGCCTTTTTATAAACTGAACTTTTTTATAAATATCACCATGGCCACTAGATAAATGAAACAGAACACAAAATGGAATATAATAATAATATAATAAATAATAATAATAATATATTTTTATTAGTCAAGAGAAGATAAAATTTCGATATATATAATATGGTTAAATGGCTCATCTCACCACTGAGGATAACCTCTTATTGCCTATTGGTGATGATGGAGTACTATTAATAGCTAAGTTACAATTTTTATAAAATTTTAGGTATTTTGTAATAAATTGTGTCATATCAGACTATAATTCAAAAACATAAATATATGTAAAAAATATATAATTTGTCATTTGTGTTTGCTTTTTAAATGGGTACAAGTATACAACTATTAATTTACTTGATAAACTTGATACTACAAAAGTACAACATAATTAAATAATTAAAACAAAAATACTATCCTACTGATTGTAGCCGAAGAAAAATTGAATATTATGTTTTACATATTATATTAAAATAATTTAAAAGAAAATTTATATTCTATTTGGTTCGTTTTCTTTTTATTTTAAACTGTGTTTTTAGTAAAGAAGTAAAGAAGTAAAATTGAAACCGTATAGCTTATAAGCTTTTAGCAATAGATTCTCTTAAAATTAGAACATCGGATGATCTGGTTATCTGTGAACTAATGTTGTCTTCGTCTTCTTCCAAGTTGAAAAATGAATCATCAGTGAGGTTATCCACACCTAAGTCTGTTTAAAAAATAAAAAAATAAATAATGGTTTATGAAACGCACTTTTAAAGAAAAATGTCTGAATCAAAAAAAAATTACCTTGATCTGAACACATATTGTGTATTATACAAGCTGCAATAACGGTTTCTGAAACTGCTTCAACACATAATGTTTCAATACCTTTTAACCTTCGTAAATTCCATCGGTTATCTCTGTTTTCAACATGATTTTCGAAGTTAAGTCAAGCATCCGGTCCCCTGTTCGATGCAACCGCTGCCTACGTTTCGGCCATACCCAAAAATATTATCGTTGGGGTCCAAGATACAGCCATTGCGGTGAAACCAAGCACTGGATTGAGTCTTGTCCGTACTCTCAAGCCACCGACCCAGTATGTCTTTTCTGCAAGCAACCTCATCTAGCCACGGATCGCAGCTGCCAGGAATGATCTACCCAAAAAGAAATTATGGTCAGCGAAAATATTTCTTACGAAGACGCCATAATTTTTAAGAAAAATAATTGTTATACTACTGCTCTTTCATTTTCTGATGTTGTAAATAGCCAACTTCCTATTTCTGAAATCTTAAAACCAAATACCTCCCTTCATGAAGATAATTTCCCCGGCTTACATGAAAATCATCATTTTTTTAACTCTGGGAAAACTAAATTCAAACCCAGCCCCCACCAAATAAAAAAGAAAAATCCACTACCAGTGGAATCATACTATTCTTCCCCAAACGGTTGCTATTTTAACATACCTTCAAACCAAAATCTTACTCCTGTGTGTGACCCAACTGACTTATCCTGGGTGCACACCCAGTGCCGTAACTAGGCTACTTGAGGCCTGTGTGCAAACTGAAAAACCAAAATATTGAGGCCCTTTATTATCTTTTTCAATACACACCTCAAACATTTTTTTTTCAATTTTTAAAGTCAGCAGACAAAAATTCGGGCTTAAACAAAAAAAAAATGTTTAAAATTTAAAATAATCTATAATTTTAAAACAATTTCTCAAGGCTATAACTAACTCAAAAAAGTAAAAATTCCCAAAATGTAATTTATTGAAAATATTTGGTGAAAACTTCAATAGTCTACGGTCATTAGTTTTCGAGTTGTACCAAAAAATAAAATTTTTTGGTTTTAGGTAAAAATGACAATTTTTTTTTTTTTTATTGACGCTTTTTACTATCTAAAACTAAAAATTTCGGTTTCGATCTCCAAAAAGTACCAACTAGATTCACTTTTCTAACAGAAAAAATGCTGATCTCGAAATTCGGAATATTTTTACTACCCATTAATGATGATGACAGAAATGAAAAAAATTATACACATCTTGTAAAATCAATACATTTGTTCGTTCCTCTCAAAATCTAAAAACAGTATACACGACTCCATGCTATATTAAAAATGAAATAACATTGGTTTCGTTTCCAAATCAATAATAAATAATTTATATATTTTAATAATTTTATATTAGTTTAATATTAGTCTTTGGATCTTTTGAGGCCCTTCGATATATTATGAGGCCCGAGGCCTGTGTGCGGTGCACACTTTGCACACCCGGTTTTTACGGCACTGTGCACACCCTGTCTCTTAAATTATCTGAATCCCTTATAAGTTCACCTTTTCTACTTTATCCCTTTTCTCCTTCTACCCTTCAGGCCTTAATTGAATCATCCTTAAGTTCTCTTCTTAACATTCCAAATTCTAATTTCCCTGCTTAAATTGTTTCACAATCTATAAAAATTAATATTTTTAATATTAGTTAAAAAAAAAAAAAAAATTAAATAAATTACTACCATGGCGTTTAGTCCTAAAAACATACACTTTACAACCACAACAAAATTACTAACATAATCCAATGAAATGTAAGAAGCCTCCGAGCTCGCCTCCCAACCTTACAACACCTCCTCTTTAACAATAAATGCTCATTAGCGCTTCTTTCTGAAACTTGGCTTTTACCCTAACAATTCCGCAGTTCAAAACCTATAGATTTGATCGACCGGATGGGTATGGTGGCGTAGCCATAGTTTCATATAGGGGATGACAGTTCCCTACAAACGACAAATGGGTTGTTCTTCACTTAATGACCCGTGACTTGTGAGTATATCATATATTATGTAACACTATTAAAGTATTATTTATAATTGTAATTTGTATTTCAAATACTAAGGAAATACAAATAAACAATGCACATCATACATCCATAAGTAAAATGGAATCAAACCTAGTGTTACGATTGTTACTCAACTGATACGACTGAAATAGAACAATAAAAGTTATTTGTAAATATAGACTATATATTTTAATCAATGTTATTGTTTAAGGAGCAAAACAATTAAATAGTGTATTTAACATAAAATAAAACAAACACATTATTTAATTTTAATGTATACCTTAAGTGTATCAGAAATAGAATCAAAGAACAATATGTGTAATTAATTATTACTAATGTAATATCTATATCATTCAATTTTTTACATACTTCTACAAAAAGCAATAATAACTCTATGTTAAGTGGTATTTACATATTTTAATGTTTTCTGTATAACAAATCACATAAATTAGCATAATACACAGTTATTCAATAAAAATAAAATTTAAAACAAAATTATTTTAAGTTATAAATTAAAAAAAAAAAAAATAAAAATTACTTGTAAAACAATAATTATTTTTATGTATTACACCTTAAGTGATATTAACAAGAGACATTCATATATATAATATATAATGAGTTGGTTCAAAAATGAAATACATAAAAAAGTTTTGAAATTTATCAACATCACATATTTATAACTCAGTCTTTGCCGGGTCAAAATTTACATTATCATCATCATTCGTCATCAAAAAGTATGCATTAATAATAATATGATTAAAAAATAATATATCCTAATAATGACCACACTTATTAAAAATTGAGCTTCTAAACATAAATAAATCCATAAAAACTTAAATACTAACATAAAATAGGTTTATAAAAAGAAGAAAATATATTGTTTTCAGTGTTCATAAAATTATGAATGATTATTTGAAATAATGCTCAAAAAAAAGTTTTTAAATTAAGTGGGAAGAAAATAAATTCTATGATGTTTTATTTTCTGTTAAATCACAGATTAGCTTATAATAAGTATATAAAGTTATTATTTATCATCTCTATAGTTAGAGAGTCTTCTAGATGATAACAATGGCGATTGGGAAGGAGACCCGTGGGCTTCTTCCATGTCTTCATAATTCTTGTCTCTTCCATAATCCAATCGTATTTGAACTGGATTTGTAATATCAGGCATGTCATTTTTAGATTTTGATTCTTCAATTTGAATGTTAACGTTTTTATTGTCAAATTCCTTTTCGTTAGGAACAGTTTCATTTTGTCCAAATTTGATTACTATTTCTGCTGTTTTAATTTGCAATTTTAAAAAAGATGGGTCTGATTGATTGCTTTGACATACAGCTGCCTGGTTACATTCACCTTCAGGATTTTCCCCTTGAGTTTTTCCTATCTGTATATGCCAAGAAGTTCCAGTGTCACTTGAAATGGGTTTTTCAATATCTTCTTGTTCTCGATTGTCTACTTCTTGAAATCTAATGGGATTATCTTCATTATTAAAAAATATATGAACATTACGTACACCTTTGAGATCAATACTGGTTTCATCATTTTGTTCAATGGGTGGTTTAAAAGGCACAATTGATGTAGCCGCATTAGTTTCAACTGAACTACTCTCAGCAACATCAATGAGTATAGTTTGATTTTTTCGTGGTTTTTCTGGGGCATTTTGTACATATATTACCCTAAAACATAATTAAGTAGTAAATAAATTAGAAAACCTTTTAGTTGGCTTATAAGTTACCTATTGTATGCTTTCCATCTTTGGCAAAGCATAAAATATGACTTGCACTGTATGTACATGAAAACAACACCACCTGTAAAGCCGATACCCACAACAATAAGTTTGGTCCAAAATGGCCAATCCAACTGCCCACGTTCAACTTCTTCCAATGTCCGATCCATAAGTACATAGAGTGACCAACAAACACATGTCATGGCAATTATATGAAACAACATTGCGCATACCAACTTTTTACGCTCCATGCCAGACATTTCTAAATGCTCCCACTAAAAATACATGTTTTAAGATACACATTATTTTAAATTAATTGAATAATTAATAATAAAATATTTACTTGACTAAATGGTTTGGTTTTGGTTTGCATAATGAACTGAAATTTACATAGTTCACAACATCGTATATTTGATGATTTAATCCATTGTTGTAAACACACTTGATGCACAAATCGTAATGAACCAGCACAATAACATGGTGCTATTAAGGGTGTGTCAATATCACCCTCACAGTGACATATTCTAAACAAAACATAATCAAAATATGAGCATAGATTGCAATTGTTTTTCTTAAACAATTTATATTTAAAGTTATTGTTTTCATGCAATCTTGAATGTATATTTTATTTTAAATGTTATAGATTTATTCAAAATGTCTAGGTAGTAGTATAAAATATTATGACTATTCTATGGTATTATCATTGTGTATGATATTTGTGAATTTATACAGTATCAATTATACCACATTAATGTTGAGCTGCATAAACAATTGATTAATTTAATGGTTCACTAAAATGTAATTGGACCAATCGTATATTTTAAGGGACTATAAAATATTAGCATATTTATCATATATATTAGTTATTAATTGATATATATATGGTTAACACTAATTCAGGATGCTCAGAAAAATTGAACAATCCCTACTTACTTATAAATATTTATTTTTTTTTGAAAAAGGTTATTAAATTGTAGATGGCGTATATTATTATCATTTTTTAAATAAGTAAAATTCAGTTTACTTTTAAAAATTATACCTGCAAATGTCAAAATTCATAGAAGAAAAACTTGTGTTCCTAGAAAATCCTTCATCATTCTTCATCTTCTGAAAAATAAATAAATTAAAGGATTTAACTAAATGGATAAAAACAAGAGGATATAAATTTAAGTTACAGAAAAAATTAAATGTGCTATAGTTTATGAATATTTTAAAATATACATCTGGAATGTACAAAAAGCAAACCGATATGATATAATATACAGTATCTGCTTTATTTATAGTAAAATAGGTATTGTACACATTGGTGGTCATTAGTATAATAATGTATTAATATGATAGACATCATATTATCACAAATAGATATCTTTTGAATAATAATAATAAGAGCTTTTATGCAAATTAAAATTTTAACCACACTTTAAAAAACAACAAAAAATATCAAACACATTTAAATACATTCATAAGGTAATTTACAAGTGTAATTTGTTGAAAAACAAGTCAAAAGTATTTTAAATAAAATAATCTCATTTTTCCATAATTAGTGGAAAACTTTAAATTTTGTGGAATGGTATTTAAATTTGTTTTAATAACTTGACCCAAAAAATAGTATATTACTCATAGGAAATAAAAACTTAAAATCGTAAAATATATTTAAAAACTAATTACTAAAAATCTATGTATATTATTGGTAAAAATCAAAAAAACCTTAAATCACAGATAACCTTTTTTTCTCTATTCATGATAAAAATGAAGTCATTACATTATAAAATCGAGAAATATAAGAATAATGTATCCCTGCAAAAAAAAACGGCCAGTCCCGGTGTATGTCATGACAGCCAACGATTTAAGCTATCAATCCTAATTGATCCCCCCATAGTACCGAAAGAACATATTATTAGCTGGCTGACCATTTTTTGGTATGTAGTATGTGCTCCAGTATTCTTATCTATCTCGATGCATTATAAATATGTTGGTTTGCACACATTGGGATTTTTATGATAAATTATGCAAGTTCCCTTAAAAAAATGAAGAATTATTATCAATATTTAATAAAATACTGACCTAACATTTTTTAGAATAATTTATTGTTAACCTAATCAATAATTGAATCACTAATTTATTGGTTATTATTTTTTACATTATATGCAGTTCCAAAGTTATCTTTACAGTTTATACAAAATAATAATCCAATGAAAATGCAATTGGTGTCAAAAAAAAACTTTATTGTGAAAATCAATAGATTATTTAGGATATAAAAGAAATACTATTGACTAATATTATATAACAAATAATTATTAAGCAAAGATGTTATTAAACAAATATGTTATGTTATTGTTGATAAATAAATCATATTAAGTACATCATAAAGATAATCAGTGATCAATAAACGCTTAATTGATTAATAAATGTGTTGTGAATAATAAATAAATACCTAATGAGTTATTACATAAATATAGTAATTAAATAAGGTTTTTAGTATTATTCTAAAAGTGTCAATGAAAAAAATCAAAATCAAAAACAGAAACTTTTATTTTATTAACATACATATAAAAAAAATAGGAAAAATAGAAAGTAATAATATTTTCTATGTTTTTAGTCATAAATTATAGAATATTATAAGTTGTGAAAGGTTTGCATCAATAACAAATTTTGTTAAAAAAATTACAAATGTCTGTAATGATTAAAGCCTAAATCATAGATCAAATTTTATTTTTTCCAAGGGACACTTTAATACAATTTATTATTTGTAGTTTGGGCGAGTCACCAATAATAGAAACGTATAAAATATATATAATACAATATTTTGTTTCAACCTAAGAACTTGGCAGTGGGTCATTTTTTTTCTAAAGCCTTTGTGGGCTATAGGTTGGGCATCATTGGGCTAAATGAATAATAAATAATATACAATTATGAACTAGTTCATAAATATATATTTATTTTTATAATATTATCAATATCATTATTGTGTATACAAAATTTTATAATGTATTATAAGTTTTTTTTATTTAATTGTATGCATGTAATGATACATTGTATGTATTTAATTCTTGATGCACACCAAGTGCTTAGGTAATTATTATTAAAAATGTAAAAATAAGGTTAAAAATCAGCAACAGGAAATTCTGTACAATTATATTTATGCAAGAGTATAAAGGTACGGTTTCCCTGCAGCGTCTGGACTCGGAGTCTAGCGTCACTACCGGTCTGGACGTAGGTCGCGTCTAGACGCCGCAACTGACCTAGCCATGCTGTTCTCGCGTCTAACGCTGCAGGGAAACCGTACCTTTACACTTTTTTTTTATACATATTCAAGTATTCATCTACTCAATTTATTACCTAAAAAAATATGTGTCAAATGTTATGAGCTTATGATTATTATAGTTGTTATAACTATTTATACCTACTGTATATCAAAACGCTTATTTCATTCTGATATAATTAAACCAAAACTTTTTTTTTTTTTTTGATTGACTATTGTTTATGTTTTATAACATGTTATTTTATTTATATCAATTTAGAAAACTTTGGAAGATAAGATTCTCTTTTTTTATTTTTGTGTATAGGTTATCTTATATAGGATTTATTATATAGCTAATTTATATAATATTTATATTAAGGTAATTTGATGCAGCCAAAAAAAATTTGGTTGTTTTTTAAATACACCTATATTTAAATGCCATGTGAATAGACAGGATGATTTTATAAGCTTACAAGACATTTTTTTTTTAATTTAGAAAGAAACAATTTTTTTATGAATATTCTTATCTATGTTTTTTTTAACTTTTTTAAATAGCAATTCATAAACTGAGATACAATATTTTAATGTTTATACATTGAATCAATACCTAGTTTATTAGGTGGGTATTCAAAATCATCTTAAGTTTAGATAAGAGGAGTGGACTGAAAGCAGAAAGAGTTATACTGCAAAGTTTCTTACTTCCCACATTAACATATTATTAATAATTAATAACTAGGTAGAGATTCAAATAGTTCAATAATACATTTTTATATAATATCAACTTTTCACTAAAACTGCTTTGTTTCAGAATAAGTACTAATAAAATGCCAAAAATAATTTGCAATGAAATAGTATATTATATTAAAAATCACTGATAAAAAAAAAATTGAAAAATGTATTGTTAACAACATACATAGGTTCTTCATATTATAAAGAATATTTTAAAACAAAAATGCATTAAAAATGTAATCACTTATGTTAAAATTTATTTAAATCTAATAGTAAATAATAGCATATATTCTTGTACCTAGATGTGAAAAACTATGGATCTCATCAATAACCCTATCAACAACTAATAATTTCTAGAGATGATTTTTTTTGTAATTCCCATTTTTTCATATTTATTGTTCTATTTACTGTTCATCACAGAAATGTGGTTTTCAATTTGTGACTTTAACTAAATAAGTACCAACTTTTTAATGTATTTATTTATTTTCAGAAATATAATAGTAGATAGATGTTAAATTTCCAGGGAAAAGCTGTTTATAAATAAGGATAAAAAACTTTTATGTAAATTAAACAAAAACAATTTTGGTTACAAACTTAATATGTTTTATATTTAAAATTGAGTTTTTACGGGGTTTTTATTATGTAGGTAGTAGGTATAGGTAAGGTCAATTTTCTTTTAGGTCATTGAGGTTACTAAATAAAGTAATAAGTAATAAATAATCTAAAGTGTAGGTAATATATTATCAAGAATGATAAGGTTGTTTCATAGATTTGTTCTTATTTTTTTGACATTCAGTTAATACTTATTACAAATCTCAGTTTATTAACCTTCAGTTCTTGATAAAAAAAAAAAAAAAACTTATCTGTTATGATAAATAATGCTAAAGTTTGTATATTGTCTTGGTATAAATTAAAAAGGGATAAGGAGATTAAAAACGTATATTATAATACTGTTAAAGTGATTATTTACAAATGTATGTATCAATGTTCTTAAATATGCTAATAACTTCTACCTAATAACCATTGTAAAAAATAAAAACTATGTAAAATCCTAACATAACACTTTTATTGCTCTCACACATAGGTACTCATAAAATAAATATTAATAATTTTTTTTTGTACAAACTTCACTAAACTGAAAATGGAATTTAAATGGACAAAAGAAATGTCTATTTGTATGAACCAACAGACAATAAACATAATTTATTAGAAGTTTAAAATAATTTCAATATTACTGTTGAGTTCTTTTTATTATGTTTATCGATCGTGTTTATTTTAGCCTAAGTTATAATATTATATTAAAAAAATGATCTTACAAAAACCCTATCCCCCCTCCCAATACAAAATTTCTGGCTACGTCAATGATTATGTTATACCATAGTATGACTGTTTTATATACTGACGTTATTTAAAACATTACGGCATTCTTATTTTGTTATTCAATTAGTTATTTATTATATATCAGGTATATATGTAAACACTGAGAAACTATTGGGTAATAACAAATAACTAGGTACCTATATGCTTACATTTAAATATAGTTATGTTCGTACATATATTACAAATATATTTATAAAAAAGAAGTAAAATATGATAAAATTATGTCATGAATGTTCGATCAAGTAATAGGCGTAGCTAGGGGGGGGCTTGGGAGGGCTTAGCCCTCTCAGTGTGAGTATTAGCCCCCCCCCAGAATTATTTGTATTTCATTTAGTTAAGTGGTTTTTTTTTATTATTATTATTAATTGTTTTGCAGCCTTCCCCCCACCAATATATTTGATCAGCCTACGCCTATGATTATAGGTTAATTACACTTTAAATTTGTACTTACTATTGTGTTACCAAATTTGGTACAGTAGGTACTCTAGTAGCAAAAGCCCATAGATCAGTTTTTTAAGGAGCCACATAATAAACATTCTTGGGCCTAGCAAAGAAAAATTGTGCCTGACAATTAAATTACGTTTAAGTTAGGTTCCAAAATATTTCGCTCCGACGATTGTCCAATGCTCCCCCCTATATCTCTAATCTAGCCCTTTATAACGATCTCTGTATGAGAACAATAGAAGCGGAAGCACGCATTTTCTATACACGTTTCCATAAACGATTTCAAACCCATACAAATCCTCTTATAAAAGACCTTTCTATCCTTACACTCCCAGGAAACCCAAACCGTAGGTTAAAAAGAAAGTGGTGCCGTGACCTTTTACAAAACTTTAATTTCTAACTCTCTGAATAATAATAATATAAACAATTGAAAAAAAAAAAAAATATCATTAACCAAGAACCACTAATGGGTGGCTGCTTATTCAAAACAATCATGTTCTATTACTCGTATCATATAAACTTATTGTGCTTCAAATAGTATATTGTTTATGCCAAAAAAAAATAAAAAAAAAACAGTTAGGTTTACGTTTAGGTTAAATATTTTGATAAATACTTCGGGTAGTCTTTACCCCCTATAAAGACCAGAAATATGCCACGCAAATAAAAAATTTACAAGATCCTAAAAAAAACCAAAAACGGCTGCGTTTTCAGCCCCCAGTGGCCCTAGCTAGGCCAACACTATGCACAACATCAGTTGGGTATACACTATAAGTCACTATAGAATTTAAATTAGAATAAAATCATTGACAGTATTCAGTTATTAATTGTCAGTAGGGCTAAGGAAGATGACCTTAAAATGTTTGCCTACATTTTTACATTTTCATAATTTACCATATTTTAATTAAAAATAAAACATAAGCAACCTTAATCTTGTCATTTTCAATTTCCAGGAATTTTTTAGGAGAAAAATGGTACAATTATAAACTACCTATTGTTAAGTTTGGAACATATTTCATAGGCGCTTTTGCTGCTTAGTGATTTGTATAGAGCAGGGATGGTCAAACGATCGATCTTGGACGATTTATAAGTCCCCTTGTTAGAATTTATTAATTGTTGTTATACATTTGTCATTTAGTAGATACAGTTATTAAATACATATTTTCGATTAACATGTTAGTGTTAAACAAGGGTCATTCGCGAATGAATATTTTGTATACCAGAATTCCTGTTTTAAAGACTTCCCAGACTTCCTAAAGAATTTCTAGACTTCCTAGATTTTCTAAAGAATCCACAGACTTCCTTAGGAATTCCTGTGGAACTACCAGAATTCCTAGAGAATTCCAGGACTTCTTTTTACATATTTTGACTTCATTGAGAATTTTAAACTTACCTACTTGCTATAATATTTCAAAATTCTGCTACAACTACTTACTTATTATATAATTATGGACAATTTTAAGTTAACTACTTTTTCATTAGGTACTGTTTTAATATTTATTTATAACATATTTAATTGAAATAAAAATAATTGTTTTCTTATATAAGGTACCTATAATGATAATAAAGAAAAATAAGAATAAATTAATCAAGTAGGAATTTCTAATGAATAAAACAGTACAATATAATATGAATAACGATAGACAATAGGATTTAAATACCTAAGATAAAGTATCACAAGACCAATGTACCATGCTATGTCATACATTACAGCATAATATTGTCCTTTTTCTATGTTTATTTTGTCATCATCAGAACTTTCGGTATCAGGGCTGTCGTGTAATGAAAAATTAGAGTCATGGGAAGATGTATCATCTTCAGATAATGATATTTTAGTATGGTGATCTTCTAGAACACTTTTAATGGGAGGTTTGGCGTTAACAATAAATCTTGGTAGTCTATCAGTGCCTACTCGTTCTTTATTGTTTTCTAAAAGCCAACACAGGGAACTTTTTCTTCTTACTCAGTGGCGGACCCAGGAGGGGGTTTGGGAGGTCAGCTGACCCACAGTTTTTTTCCTAGTTAAATTTGGCCCCTCGAAATGGCAAACTATAAAAACATTTTTTTATTTGAAAAATTATGTACAGTGGCAGATTTTGGGGAGGGGCACGTGTCCCCCCGTCAATTTTCTGTCGACAATTTGTTATGTAACTACAAGTATCATATAAATGAAAAATTCAGTTAATAAGAATAATACTACCAACTATTAATTATTATTTATTATAATCATTATTGTTTAAAAATGATAGTATGTATGTATTATTAATTAAAATTAAAATTTTACAATTTATATGTGCCTCCCCCCCCCCTATCAAAATATTGAAGATCTGCTATTATGTTGTAGGGGTATATGCAGCCGGGAATACTGAGTATTGAAGTAAAATAGCGTGTACGAAATCGTGCTTAAACTTATCAACTTATAATGTACCTAAATTCGAAAAACACGAGTATAAAAATATGTAATATATATTATTTAAGATTTTATGAAGTTGACATAGATGAAAATGATATAGAAGTGGAATACCGTTCAATATATCTAGTTTAGCAACAAGTGTATGGCAAAACTATTGAAACTGGAGTGTAACTGGACCTTTAAAATTAAATGAAGTATTGAAGTTCATGATATCACGAGACATGGTTTCTTCGTATCCAAATTAATATACTTTGTATAAAATATTTTATACATTTCTAATCAGCAATGCAATGCAACTGCAGAAAGAAGTTTTAGCCTTCTAAGACTTCTCAAGACATGCCTTTGCTCAACTATGACTAAAGACCGGCTATCAAATTTGACCATATTGAGCATAGAAATTAGAAAGAAACATAGCTCAAACCGTTGATTTTTATAACGTAATAAGTATATTTGCACTAGTGAAAAGGCGCAGAAAATTATAGTAATGTACTAGTTCTTTACTATTATTTTCATGTAGCTGGTATATTATAAATATAAATTTTATAAATGTATTATTTTTGACTTTTGTATTGTATTAGAATTTAGAACCTACTATATCTCTTGTGAAAATGAAATCAATCATTGAAAACTAAACTAAAATAAATATACTGCAAATATGCGTATAAAAATAAAATGATAAATATGTACCTATAATCCCTTCTAATGATTTAAATATGCCAGGTAAATTTTTTAATCGAATATATATTTTAATGCAACAAATTAAAATGACAATTAATTAAATATAGCTTTAATACTAAAGCTTGTAAGTAAATTTTACAATTTACATAAAAATATGTTATGACGCATGTAATATAGTTATATTGAATGTTGGTATCAAAATGTGATGTAAATAACTAATGAGGTAAATCGCTAGCGCATTGGGCAATTTTGTAATACCTAGTTGGTTGAAGTTTCTACACAGTGGCCTACTGGCTTCTCATAAGTAAGGTTGATCTACAGTTCTAAAATCCTGGGTACGCCACTGTTATTACTACATCTTTTGATGGTGTTAAACATAAACGTATAAACGGACTATCAGTTGATAAGTCCATTTTGTTCAATTCTTTAAATAGTCCTTCAAATTTTGTTCAGTTATTTTTGTTTTGAGGTTACTGTCCAACCCTACACAGCTAGGGTATAGGCAACCTGATATTTATCTCGCAAAAGGGTTATTACCCGTTTATTACACAAATAAAAATAAAATAAAATATTCTATATCAATGTATTTAAATTTGTATTATGAATATGATCAATTTTTACTCTTTTGGTAAATTTCTAAGAAAAATAAAAAAATCAGAAAATTAGATAATTTAGTGACAAATTCAAAATTAATATCGGAACATTATATTGGGCGTAGTGATTGAAGTCGTAAGCCATGTTTTCAACCGAAAATGAATCACGCTTCAGCCTCCTTAATATACCTACCTGTATATTTTCTTCCTAAGTAGATATTTTGTTTATTTTAATAAATAATAGCAAAATGACTTCTTATCAATTTTCAGAATTCCCGCAGCTACCTTAGGAACTTTTGGACTTTTTTATGAATTCCCAGACTTTCTTTAGAATTCTTAGAAGATTGCCTAGACTTCCTAATAAATTCCTAGACTTCCCACAGACTTCTTATGGAATTCCTATGATTTGTACACAGAATTCCCTCCGCGATTGACCTCCCGGTGTTAAATGACATTTTATCACATGAAAGTTATAAAAGCTGACATTTAGATCATTGTCTTCATTTAGCAGTTATAGCGACTATTACCGAGATTACAATTAACTGGCTATGATATACAATGACACGCTCCTACATTAACAATAAAATGGTTATACATTTAAAAATTATTAAGAAATTTAATGTGAAACACTCATCATAACTTTATACTTTTATTTTATTATTTATATAAAATAATTTGCTTACATTAGTTGATCCTAAAAGAAAAAATATACCCTCAGTACATGTTAATCAAAAAAGTTTGGCCACCCCGGGTATATAGGGAGACGGACAAATTTGAATTCAAATTTTAAATAAATTACTTTCATACTTTTAAAATATAAGTCCTAATGTTATCTTTGGGGTGTCACCAATGAGTAACTTCCCCCTCCCGCTACTCATCCCCATCCCATTTACTTATTGTAATATAGGTATATTGTAATTACAGATTGTAAACAACATTTTGTTCAATAAAAAAAAAAAAAAAAATGTTATCTTTGAAGTGTAATATAGGAAAATTCTTATTAAGTCAACAGTTTATAAAAATAATTACCTTATAAATTACCTGTAAAGAGAAACCTAGGTACCTATTTTAATATTAATAACAAGTTTACATAAATTAGACGTCCTTAAAGTATTCAACAATGTTAAATAATGAGTCTTAGTATATTATATTATTTTGTTTTTAAATGTTAAATAGAAGTGTAGATAATAAATAAATTAACCTAACTTGGACGCTAGGTGTCCATAACTCACATATAAACCAATAACGCTGTCTATACTCCATTCCAAAAGAAAATACTCAAAACTACCAAATGGTTTCATCCAGTACTTCACATATCTCTTTGGTGGTTAGGCCACAATAATAAATTGAACAAGTTTGTAGGTACTGTTGCCTTTGGGGAAGCATTAACATTTCACTTTGAGCATGGTAGGGACGTAGGGTAAATCTTTGAGCATAAGTCTTAGTGCTGCCAAGGTAGTGTTGTCTATCATTATGAGCAGAAAGTATAGGGTAGGTATTTTTTTTTAGAATTGAGTTCACACGTATAATTAGGCTTAAAGGTTGAACACATAATATTTGTATATGATTCATAGTTTATAATTGACTTGTTATTAAAAGGACCAAACTAAAAATAAAATGCTTACTGGGTACTGTGAAACGACTTGCACATCTGTAGGGTCAGATATGGGTAATTTTTCTTGCATGACTGAGACGTTTATTCATAGGTCTCCAATTGGTTACTGACTACTGAAAAAACAACAATTTGTTGAACAGTATAATAATAATGAGAAAGAAGAATGTAAAAGCTACATAACGAATAGGTAGTTCTTTCTCAAGTAGAATAAAAATTAACAACAATAATAGTGGTAATAATTGTAAATTAGAATGATGAATGATGATGATACATTAGTACTGATAAATATTAGCAATATTAAATACCACCACTACAACAATGTATATAATAGGTACAAAGACCGATGTCGAAAAGCGGTGCACGCGTCAGTCAGAAAAGAAACATTGAATAACGATCAACGGAGTACATGGGTAATGGGTACATACCCCAATGCACTGGCCCAGATGCAGCAAGTCGCAGACACGACGTTCTGTCCGGACGACGACCGCAACGTCACGAATATCGCAATGCTCATATCGCCGTCTGCCGACAGGTTCAACGTATTTTAGTATGCGCGCTCGAGCGTGTGTCGTGTACTCGTGTTTCGTGTGTGTGGCCACTGGCCACTGAGGAACAAGGTTGAAGGTTCGTGGCGCGCACGTTCACTACACTGCTCACACGCAGGCACGCAGCACTGCCGTCTGCCACACAAAGAAATCGTATATCGAACAAAAAAACGAGGAATTAATGATAAAACGCGAGCAGCGGAAAGACGGCACTACGGCTGCGACAGCGGCCGAGCAAGCGCGACTGAGCAATCATGAGCGGCAGTCGCGTCGCAACTCGCAAGGTGTTGCGGGCCGGGGCTGCAGCACCGTACCAACTACCAACCATAGAAAAGAGATTAACCAACCATCTCGTATAGTAAGTTTACGTCACTGTGCCGAGTTCCTATCATCAATACCCCAATAAATGATAAAAACCCACAGATATATAATATTATACTACTATTATTGTATATATCTGTGTAAAAACTAAAAACCACAAATACAAGCAATACAATTTATAAACATAGATAATAGTATAATACATAAATACATAATGTAATATCTATGTTTAAAACAGTACATGCGTGATGCGTCATGCATAGTGATATTACCCTGTCTTTATGAATACATATAATATACTATCCACCACGATTAAAGATATATAGGTATATCTTTAATCGTGCTATCCACGGTCTTGTCAGTTGTCAGTGGTATCATATTTTTACCCATGAAGCCTAAATTGTACCAGGTATAGATCTTAGTCCGTGGTATTATCCATATCTACGATTAAAGATATACAGGTTATTCAACGAGCCTATGCACTATACAACAAAAGTAGTGCTCGAAAATGTTGGTTTCTAACAGCTGATCAACAATGTGAGAATAACTACTAGAGCTCCAAGAGAGAAACAACTTTATTCAAAATTTCAAAGTGAACTGCCCGTGGCCCGTCTACCGGGTTGCCAATATGACACAGTGTAAAAATCAAACATAATTGTTACAATGGAATGGATAAAAATAGTATATAAATGAGATTAATAAATTTAAAAATAAAGTATAACATACAATAAAATATGGAGTGTTAATAGAATATAAATTGAAAATCATTGAGCTTTGAACGCGGTGAATAAGATTATTAGTAAAATAAATGTTTTACAATATTGATATAAATAATATTAAGTATATTATATCTAAATTGATATATTTTGTAGTACCAAGAGATATCACTTTAATACAAAAACGCTAACTGTTATTCTTGCTATGACAAGTTCGTTAATTTTAAGCTCACCAAAAAATAAGTTTCGTTGAGTAACCTCTACATCTTTAATCGATCTATATCTGTGCCACGATTATAGAATAGATAGATTAATAGATTATAGATTCAGAGCACGGACTAAGATCATAGTCGGTGATTCAGAGTAATACCATTGATTATACATACTATATTACTATGTACTATATTATATTATTATATGATCTAAGGTAATACCACAGATATATATATATATATTATATAATAACTAGATACCCTACTTTATACCACACTAATGTTTTAAATACCTATGCCGATATTGAGTCTTTGTATCTACCTAATTAAAATTAGGTAGTTTATCTCTTATCTCATGTTTACCTAATATGTAATATTAATATTATATTATGAGTTATAATAGACAGTGTAAACCACAGATATATACAATAACAATAAATACAATAAAGATGTATGCATAGAGTATATAGAGGAGCCCTAATTGAAATAATATGAAGCGGAAATGGAAACAAAACAGTGTAGGCAAACTATAGAAAATATTTTATTGTATATGAACTATAATACAATATTTATTGTAATTTAATTATATTATTCATTATTATTACTCAATTATATCATATTGGTCTATGGTTATATTAACCTTTATTTATAACTATCAATATATATTAATTATATAATATTACTGAACTGAACTTGATTTGCACAAATACGTAAATACTATTATAATATGTTATGGGAGGGTAGTAACTTTTTGGTGAGGAAATTATCAGTACTATCAATACTTAAATTATTGTAACACACCAGCATCTTAGGTTTGTTCTTAAAATAGTTTCCGAGTAGAAAGTATTATAACATATTAAAATATTACATGGTGGGATTTACGAAAAGTTTGAAAATTAGCGCTATCTATCAGTTGCGTTGTTAGTTATTGGAACCAAATACGACATGTTTGCTTCACATAATTCATAATACTATTCTGATAGGGCATCTCTATATACTCTATGGATGTATGCAATAAATTATTGATATAATATCTGTACAATAATATGATGATAAATTCGAATTGATAAAGTGATAACAAACAAAAACATTGACTACCACGCACTTCGACCATATAAACTAATATCTGGTCGAAGACCACGCATATGGCGTTCGGCTTCTTAATCATAGTGCGTCAGATATAATCAGTTAGCTATCTAGTTATTGTATATATCTGTGGTGTAAACTGAAAGCTAATAAAAAAAAAAACAACTAGATACCCGACTTCTTCTTATCAATGACGCTTGCAGCCATTTGCAACTTTGGCAATGTTTAGTGTTTACCGATCGCCATTCGCCCTTAGATCATATACTATGGATGGAGCCACTGCATATTATTTTGAAGCCGATATTAGCGACGAGTCACCGAATTAGGTGATCGATATGCGCATGCGCGAAACAACTCGTTTAATATTAATATTATAACTGTCCCCATCCCAGCCGAGTCACCGAATTAGGTGTTGGATATGCGCATGCGCAACGCAACCTCTCGCATATTTATCAGCTGGTGATTATAATATTAATATTAAACGAGTTGTTTCGCGCATGCGCATATCGATCACCTAATTCGGTGACTCGTCGCTAATATCGGCTTCAACTTTTTGTATTGCTATAATACGCAGTGGCTCCATCCATAGTATATGATCTAAGCATTCGCCACGGACGAACTACGAAGATATAATGGACAGTGGAAAAGAAGTACGAACAGCTTATCAGTGGCCTCGAAAGTTTGTACAACCACGTACAACTTTACTGTACAAGAGGCAAATGCGGGAGCTCGCCAGTCGCCATTATAATCGAGAGTTTACAGCGCCATCTGTATAAAACACGGACAGAGATACAAAATGTGACGCTAAATAAAACCACTGGTAGTGCTGAAAACTTTCGATTGTGAGTGTCGATGATAACAGAGGAACCTTTTGCGGGCCGTCCCCCGTCACCCGCCCACCAAGTCGTTTCCAGTCCATTATATCTTGTCACAGATTTCTATATATTACTAGATAGCGAACTCCGGTCATGAATTGAAGCTTCAAGGTCGGTTGGCAATTGTATGGTATTTCATATGACAAATAAGATGATATTATGATTTATTTTATATCGTATTTTATTATTTTTAAACATTAAGTTTACAAAAAAAAAAAAATATTTTATATAAGTCATTTTACATTTACTATTTTATTTGACCGTTAAAAAAAATATTATTCCTAATACATTTTGTATAATAAATGAAATGTTTTGCCAACCGAGAAAATGGCGGCCGTTCACAGCTGAGCTTCACTTGTAACAATGTACATTGTATAAGAGTTCCTTATCTAGTGTAGTATAGAAGTCTGTGTATCTTGTTGATTGTTCTATGATGACATCCTAATGACTCCTCTTGGCAATGCCGCCACTAAACCAAAACAAACCACAAGCCGGCAACGTTGCGGGCATAGATAATACAGGGCTTTTGCGCGCCGGTGAATCAGTGTCCCGTTGTTTCGTGATAAATTCAATTTCGATATCTAATGAAAAAATTTGAAATACCAAAATCAAAGTATAGTGTACAGATAATTCATTTTGGAAAGGAAGATGACCGTTAATCTGGTCCAGGAGTTCGAATACACGAGCAAGTTCATTTCTTGCGTTTCCGTCAACAATTCGTTCGTCTTCTCGACGGACAATGGTCTGTTGATCGTCGTACGTATATCGCAGCATTCTATTATTTAGTAAAGTTTCGATACCGACGCATTGGGTTTATCTTACAAATAACGCTATTTTTATAGGACATCCAGTCAGACCTGTTCAGGCCGTCTGTGGACTACAAGGTATTCAGGACGTCAATCCCATTCTCAAAAGAGAAACCGTTTGAAGATAAAAACTTCAATGAAATACGTTTCCAAACACCAGTGGTGTGCCAAGAACACAATTTGACAGTATATCCAAACAGTCGGAAGTAAGTAGGTATACCTATGGGTTTGTTTCCAATCTAGGTCATATTCATGTGACCCAGCAAACAAAAATGGTTGGGGTTAATTTAAGAATGTTTTATATGTGAGAACTGAGAAGTTTGTTAAATTATATAACGTATTGTAAGATCCGGGTACAAAGAAGAATTAATTAGGTTTAAACAGAATATGAAAAATAATGCAAGGTTTTAGGATTAATAAACTTTTTGATATCATTAAAGGTGGTGGGTGGCCTTCGAGTAGGCATTTTATATTGAAAAAAACCATGCATCATTGTAAATTAACAAGAATATAGCCTGAATAGCCTGAATACATTTGAGATTTTAATGTACAATATATTTTTTTTTCTGTTCTATAAAACTTAATTTCTCATAAATGTTATCCCTTATATCAAAGGATTCAAAAATAGTTCTTATTTTGTAAATGTATGTTCTTATTTACTTTTACGGATAAATTTTAGATGTGCGTTTAAATGTACTAGTGTTTATTTTTCTTAGTAGTTCATATAATACATTTCATGGAAATGTGATTTTCATTTTAAGTAACGTTAGGTATTTGAAAAATTAGAAGTTTATATGTTTAAAAAATATAAGGCTGTAAACAATGCATCATTATTATTTTTTTAAAAATCCAAATTAAATAAATAGAATATTAAAAAAATATTTATTAATATTAAGAGGTGAAATCCTAAATTAATTATGAAGGAACTTTGATAGATTAATTAATTATAATATTTTATTTCAGTTGGCATGTCATTTATATGGGAAACAACAGCAATATAGTGTTTTTAGAAAAAAATAATAATAAATGGATAGAAAAATTAAGTGACATACCACAAAAATGGTTTTTAATAGTATCTAAGAAACCTTGTTTCTTAATAGATAAAAAGAATCTTAGTATTTTTAAAACTGAGAACCGAATACTTTATTATTGCCGTGAAAAAGAAAAGTCGTTACAAATTAAAAGTAAGATTTCATTACAACTATAGTTTTAATATTAATACTTAATTTCATTAGGTAATAATATATTGTTATAATATACTATGACTATGATTTGTATTAAATGAATGATATCAATAAAAAAATATATAGCATAACATATAATATATAATATTTTTTTAGATTTGGTGGTATTTGAGTTATACACACATAATTAATCTATTGTAACATAACCAAACGTGAGTTCATTAAATCTATTTATTTATTACACTATGGTTTATATAAATTTCAGATTTTGTTTTTACTCATACCTTAAAACATGAAAATGAAACAGAAGTTTATGGAACTATTTGTTGTCATTTAAATAATATGTTGACATTTTGGTCAACTTCATCAGAAAAATCATTTTTTTTGAAAGAGTTTGAATTTTATACTGTTTCTATAAAACATATTAAATGGTTTCAGATATCAAGTGAATTATGTATGTATAATATGATGTAAATATAATACATTTGGTATTCTAATTAATTATATGGGAAAAAACCAAAATTATTTGTTTGATATTCTTTAACCACAATTTTTTTTATTAGTTTGGTTAGTAGTTTCCTTGACAAATGGTCAAGTTTATGTTCATGAAATATTGAACTACCCTAACGTGCACTGTACATTTATTTTGTGGCCGGACGAAGACTTTGCCTGTGTGAAAAACATTCAAGTAGAAAGTATTTCAAATGATAAATGTCTCATATTTTTTACAAAAATGTCATTTGTATTGGTGATGTTGTATTCATTATCCGAAAAACAAATTTTATCAACAAAAAAAGAAATGATTCCTAAAACTGCAATTATACCTGGTAATTTAATGTTTTGTTATTATTTAAAATAGTGATTATTATGAGTTGTGTGAGTACTGACTATTGTTTAATTGAAAAACTTGTTGAGTCAGCATTAAGTTGTTGAATCGAGATCAGAACTCAAAAGTGATTGAGTATTTAAAAATGTCTCGTTCATATAAAAATTTCAAAGTTGTAACCTTCTTTAAATTGGTATTCTTATCAAAAATATCGAGGTTTCAAGATATTCGTAGTTTTTACATTTCTTATTCCAATAAAGCAGTCTGTACTCCGTTAAATGAGTGAGTGCGACCGCTACGTGCATCAAAATGAATTATCTCCGACATCGCGAGGCCAAATTTCCCCTACCATGTGACGTCCGCTCTCTGTATACAGCGGCTCAAGAACGCACGATTAACCGCGACTAACCATTATAATATAATATATCAGTATAGGAGTTTTTTCTTATGAATTAAGTATAATTTATATTTTATTTTGATAATTACTTTTTTATTATTAAAATACCATAAAACATGTAGTAATAATAAACATGATTACACCAGTAACCTCTCTGTATATTATGACAAGATCGTTGGACAACGGTATGACGTCGATCAACAAATACCGATAGTAGATATTGACAGGAATGTAGTGGGGATGCTCAAAAATGAACATGTGTGGTCGCCACCTAGTCGCACTCTCGTGGAACGGAGTATAGTACATTACGAGCATAAAAACAAATGTAATCAAGTCGAGTACTTGAACTCGACTCAAGAATTTTTTTTTAAAGTCCTTGCTTAACCATACCTATTATAATTATGTTTGTGTTTAGGTTTTACAATTGTATTAGAAAAAAATTTATTAATACTAGTGACAGATGTTGGTAAATTTATTTGTATGTATTTTTCTGCTATAAAATCAGAAGTAACGTATACTTTAAAAATAGTAAATAATAATTTTAGTGAACAAGTACAAAACTATACTTGTACATCAGTAGTATTTTCAAAAAATGAGTGTATATGTGTTCTCACATTTCAGTAAGTCTAAACATTTTTATAATACAAACGTTTGATTGTGTAATAATAAGTAATGTCGTATTTTAGGTGCAACATAGCCAAGTATAGTAAAAATGATGGTCATGTTAAAAATAAATTGTTATTTTGTACTATTCCTGAAAACTTAGTTGAACTTGAGAAAAAAATTTTATCAATAAATGATTGTGATTATGAAAATGTTATTGATTGTATTGAGACTCTAAGGTACTAAGTTGAAAATATAATTATTACAATTGTAACCTATTAGTATTATTTATCTTAAGTTTATTGTGTGTTTTCAGGATTAATAGAATGGACGACACATTGGATAAAGTGTGTCAGTTAGATAGAAAATCATTAGACAAATTATCCATCCAACATCTTAAGTTTACTTATTGGAATATAGCCTTCAAAATTAAGAAAAATGAACATGATGAAAATGTTTTACAAGAGTTACAAATGTTACTTCATACACGTCATATAATTAGTTATTTTTCTAATAAGAAAAAAAAATTTAAAAAGGAGGACCAATATTATTGTCGAACAATGCTATCCTATTATATGAATAAACTATCAGTAGAATATGTCCAAGTTAAAGTGGATGCTGCTAATTTGATTGGTTCTTTTACTGGTTCTAAACATACTTACTTTTGCAACACATGTAAACGGATTTTGTTATCATTTACAGATTTCAGAATGTTTGTTTGTGAACAAGAACACAAAGAACTTAGATGTCCTGTTACTTTAGGACCACTCGGTATGCCAAGTTTAGTGTGTTCTATGTGTTTTACCATGGCTAATGTTAATGCAGGTAAGCATTTAATCTTAAGTTATTTTATATTTTTTGAAAATAATATAATATTTGTACAATAAAATAAAATCTGGAAAAATTTCAATTTACCAAGATTAAAGTAAAAAAATTAAACGTATCCAGAGCACCAGGCTCATGGTTAAATATTGGGTAACTGAATGCCTGGTGACAAAGTTGAATACTCTAGTTTACTTTGAAAAACCTGACAAATTAAAACTTAAAATTTGATACAAGATGATATTTTAAAAATTATAATAAATAAAATACTTAAACTTAAATAAACATTTTTACCATCAAAATTTGTTTTAAAATTAAATTGATACTGTACTAGTAACAAAAGCAACTATAAATTATCAACAAAAAAAAAATATTTAAATATTGATTACTACAAAAGTTATTTAATTTGTCAGGTACTCAGGTTTTTCGGATTCTCGTGTCACAATGTTAGTTACCATACTCCTCCAAAATGGCTTGACCGATTTTTATGAAATTTTATATGCATATTCAGTAGGTCTGAGAATCGGCTACTGTCTATTTTTTGTACTCCTAAGTGATAAGGGTTGTCCAGAAAAAAATAAAAATAATAATAGTGCATTATATATTGGTCGCTATTGGTTAATCGGGCATGTTTGTTATTGATTTGTATTATTATTTTTTGTCAATATTTATATATATATATATATAACTGAATGTTTGTGGGTGGATTAGACCTCTGGGAAGAAGATGGGCTAATTTAAAAAGGATTAAATTTGGTTTTTTTTATTCATCGGATATTAGTACGATTAGGTTAGGTTAGGATTTTGTATTAATTGATTATATATTAATCCACCGTAGGTGGAATTAAGTAAAAACGACAAACTTGGTATAACTTTAATACTTTAGAGTTAAATCATACACGTATGTACAAACAGCACTAGCACGGGGTCCGCGATCTACCGTAGGTAGATTGCCTACCTGATAATATACTGTTGCGAATCAGAATTTTTATTCCTGGCAACAGAAAAGTTCAGATAAATTTAGAATATCATACACCTGAACAAAGTTTGAGTCATATACAATTTGTACATTTAACAGGTAACAAAGTGCACGGGATCAGCTAGTAACATATATATATATGTTAAGGTGTATGACCGCAGTAGGCGAATGTTGAGAGTCACCGGTGTAGGTTGACATATACCAAAAACCGTAGTGAATGTTGACGAAATTGTCTTAATGCGTTCATACACCGGTGATTGTTGACATTTACAGTCAGTGTTTGGTAAATGTTGACCACACTTGAAGCACAATGTATCCACAATATGCATTGGAGACGTTTGGACGTTAGTAATGTTATCGCATGAGACAATCCGATTGTCAATCGTTTGCTAGATAATATAATATAAATATACCCTCGTCAGTATCGACGCGTATTCTAAACCAAGCGCAACAGTTTAGTGTAATACAACGGGCCTTAGTGTAATATTTTATTAATATTATATTCGAATTAAAACTAATAATGAATAAAAGTATAAAAGATATTTTTTATGAAAAGTTTAGTGCACTTTTATTAAAAAAAAGGGAAGATAATTGTTTTTATTTAAGCACTGAAAAATATAATAAATATATAAGTGAAGTTATAAATGCTAAAGCAAAAAAAAAAATAAACAACGAAGTGATTACAGACGATTAAATCGATTTGACGTTATGGATATTACGGATAATCATAAACTAATCGTCCCGTTAAAAGCAGGTGAAACTAAAATTATTTACTATGTAAAGAACGAAGAACTATACGACATTATGTACGAAGCTCATATAAAAATTGGTCATAGAGGGCGAACCAGAATGATGAACGAATTGCAGAACAAATTCAAAAATATAACATATGAAGTTGTTATGTTATTTTTAAGTTTATGTGTAATAAAGAAAACTTAATAAAGTATAAACTTATACTACTTAAACTTAAATATTAAAAAAATAATTTGTTCAACTATATTTATTTATGAATTTATTAACTATCTATTTGATTATATGTTATGTTGTCGTTGTCACACATGTCAACATTCACTAAATAACTATTGTGCATGTCAACAAATACTGGTAAATGTCCGCATTGTGAGATATTTGAAATAATTGATAACATTCACCAAAATGATTAGTGAATGTCGACATACACCGGTGACTGTCAACATTTACTGCCATGCGGTCATACACCTTAACATATATATATATATATATATCATAATATTATTTAATACAAAATAAGGATGCATACCAAGATTTCAAAAATTACAAATTAATTTCAACAGGCTTCTATACTCCCAGGTGTCAGGTCCAATTGCTCTCCCCCCTCTGTATTCATACTTCATAGCGACTGACTCTGAATAGCCAGGCACCCGATATTCAACTTTGTCACCACGCTTTGGGTGCTTGGTTACACAATATTTATCCAAGCTCCCATAGCTCTAGACACGGGCACTCATTAATTGCCTCCTATCAGACCCTCAAATTGCCTCCAGTGCATTTTTTTTAAAAGGTTACTTGAATTGTCTCCTCTTGTACTGGAATCGCCACGATAGCTATAATTAATTGATTTCTAACATTACACAATAGGAAATATGAATAAATTAAATAAATGGAGTCAAGTGAATGATGTCGATTGAATTAATATCAATTAAGGTTAACAAATAATTATATAAAAAAGGTGGGCAAGTGGGTGTCGCTCTGCTGTACAGTAGGTTACAAATAGTTCACTGTAGTGGATGGTGTTAAATTTGAATTCATCGATAAATGTATCATATCATTGTATAAGAAGAACGATTCTGAGCGAAGACGGTTTGTCAGTCTGGATCTTTTATATTGTCAGCCTAAGATTTTACTAAGTATATTTGACAATATTATTGTGAATAAAGTAATTTATATATAACCTATTTACGTGGATGGAACCTTCATCATTCATCACCCGTTCAATATAATAAATTTTGTTTGAGTAACCTTTACCATAAATAACACGATTATACATACAAAATTGTTTACACAATATGACGTTATTAGTGAAGAAGACAAAACAATTTTAATTAAGCAGTGGCATATACAAGGGAGGGACATGGTTGTCATATCCCACCCATTTTTTTTTTTTTTTTGTGTCTGTCATAACGTTTTAGGACAGTAAAAGTGCTTGGATTTTCTTCAATAGTATCTTTTCTGATAGGAAAGTGAAAAAAAAACTGTGACTAAGGATTTTTAATATTTTTCAAATGCCATTGTAACAATATAGTAGGAACCTTGTATTAAATTTTCAAGCTTTTTTAACCACCTAATAAAATTTTATTGATATTTTTAGAAAAAAAAATTTAAAAAAAATGGAAAATAAAAATGTGCCTAAACAGTTCAATATAAATCAAAAAATGTTGAAAATGTTATCGTGTATAGAAAATGCTAATATAAACATTCAGTCAACATTTCATTTACGGTCATTTGTTTAAGAGTTGCACCAAAGACCAAAATCGATTTTTTCGAAAACAGATTTTAGTGTAAAAATTCCTGTTTTTCCTTAATTTTAATTTTTTTTTTTCATGCCGCTTTTGAAAACTACTGGGAGATTTTCACTTTCCTATCAGAAAAGCTACTGTTGAAGAAAATCCAAGCACTTTTATTGTCCTAAAACGTGATGACGGACACTAAAAAAACACACATCATTGTAAAATCAATACATTCATCGTTTCACTCAGAATCTAAAATGATTTTGTAGTTAAAAATGTATAGAACGTTCAACTTTAATAGCTTAGGGTTGAAAACTTACAACAAGGTTCTACCTAAGTAAGTATGCTATTCTGTAACCAAAAAATATAAAAACTCAGTTTTTTTTTATAGTTATTTTATGTTCAAATTTGAAGAAAGTTACATATCAAATAAATAAGAATAACAGTTTTAGTTATTTTGTTGTAATTTTATAATATTAGTTCAACTTACCGGATACCTTATTAATAATAATTAATAACAACATAAATATAATATAAAATATCCACACTGGCAAACCGTCACCGCTCAGAATCGTTTTTTGTATACAATTATAATATATCATTGAATTCAAATTTAATATTATCCATTATACAGTGACCCACTTGTAACCTACTGTATAGCAGAGCGACATCCGCTTACCCAACTTTTTTAAAACTAATGTTGATAAAAAAATTTGCTCTGTCAAAAAACTGAAAATTGAATACAAAGTTTTCAAAGACAAAATTATATATATATTTTTTTTTTTTTATTGTAAAAATATAAATAAAATTATTTACATATTATTAAAATGTTTACAATAAAGTATCTACCTCCTTTAAGCGTAATTCTTGTGATTGTTGTAGAGATATTAAACGAAGAATAAAATATTTTGTTTTTATTTAAAAATTTAATTGGTTTGTACTTTACACTTAAAACAAATTATTATGTTTTATAGTTTTATACACACATATACACAATGACATTTTCAAATGCAATTTTTTCTGGAAAAAATAATTTAACCTACTGTACCATAGTTGTTTTTGTTAAAAAATGTGATTTGTTTTAAATTAATTTAGTTTTACATTTTATTATTTCAGAAAATCAAAGTTGTGTTTGGTGTTTTGGAAAATATGTACCTAACAAACTACTATTCTAAGTTCAAGAAATCAATGTGAATAACAAAATACAGTGCTGATTTTTGCATACTTGTACATTTACATTTTTTTTTTCAAATATTCATAGTAAAATCAATTAATATTACATAGTATTTAGTTTTGATAGGTATATAATACTTTTTTACATTCTGAGCGTGGTTTTACAATGGTTTTTATTTTTTTTTTTTTATCCTGTATACAAAATTTCTACAAGGAGTGCTTTGATTTCAACACATAGTATCTTATCTTTTCACAATTTAGATCAAGATGGTACTTTAGAAAGGTTATTTTTTGATTTTCTCAATAATTTTTTAATGCCACATTAAAAACCACCGACAAATTACAAAATGTCCGGAAAATTTTTAACATCAATCCTACTTTTGTAACTGCAGTCCAATGGTGTGGAATTTACTTTTAACATTTAATACCGATTGAGTTCAGTCATTTCTCGAGTAAAGAATAAATTCCTCACCCGCACCTATCTTGTTCTTCCTCTTTAGAAATTTGTTTTCTGTGTTTTCGCTTCACTGTCCCTGTCAATTACACGTATGCCAATAGTAATTACATTGTCTACAACTTCGTGCCAAATCTTCGTCGTTTAGATCAGTTAACATTTCATATTTATTGTTTAGAAGTACAATAGGTATGTCAATATTAGAGTAAAAAACATTATTTGACATCAAATATAAAATTACTTTATATACCAACACCGTTCGCGGCTACAAGGTCCTGACACGATATTTTAATTTTTTAGACAACTTCGCACAAGAATAAAAACATTTGATAAAGATGATTAATGGTATGTACTTATGTTGAGTATTGAAATATACTTTAAAAGATGTAGATTTGGAATATTTAGAGGAATTAGCAGCTTTGTTAAGGCCTATTGCTGGTGCCTTAGACTTTTTGCAGAGTGAAAATCAATGTTACTACGGTCAACTTTTACTCACATTATTTTCACTTAAAACTAGACTAGAAATGTTAAAAGAAAAAAAGGTGGGCAAGTGGGTGTCGCTCTGCTGTACAGTAGGTTACAAGTGGGTCACTGTATAATGGATGATATTAAATTTGAATTCAACGATATAATATCATTGTATAAGAAAAACGATTCTGAGCGGAGACAGTATGTCGGTCTAGGTATAAGACATATTATATACATTATACATATCTATGGTACTAAACCAAAATTTGACCTATAATAGGTAGGTACCTATAATAAATTCCAAAATTAATCATATCAAAATATCCATTAGGTACTTATAACGCGTTATACATCAACAAAAACCGTGATACTATCATAGATATATAATAGTACACTTTAGAAGTTTCAAGTACCCACAAATAATATTATTCAATCACAACAAAATAACTAAAATAGTTTTTCTAGGTTTTTTAATATGTAATTTCGTCCAAATTTGAATTTAAAATGTCTGTAAAAAAAAACTGTGTTCATATATTTTTTAGATTTTTTGGTTACAGTATGAACTATTTACGAGAACCTTTGTGTTGAATTGGCAATCCTTAGCTAGAAAAACTGAACATTTTATAATTTATTAATTACAATGATTGATAATTTTCAAGATTTTGATAAATTTTGTCAAAATTTGATCTTTAAATGCTTATAAAAAAAAACTGTGCCTATGTATTTTTAATATTTTTCAACTGATATTGTAACAATATATCAGGAGCCTTGTATTAAATTTTTACACTTTTTGGCCCAACAGATAAAACTTTATTGATATTTATAGAAAAAAAAACTAAAAAAAATTGAAAGCTGTAAATGTCCATAAACAGCTCAAAAAGAGTCAAAATATTTTCAAAATTGTATGGTGTATAGGAAATGCTAATATAAACATTCAGTGAAATTTTCATGTATCTACAGTTATTCGTTTTTGAATTACAACAAAATAAGGAAATCGCTACATGAGAAATCGAGTGAACATCCAATGTTGTAAAAATTTGAATTTCAAACGCTCATAAAAATTTAATTTGACATTCCGGTAGAGATTTTTTTATTGATAAAGGTAGACAAACTTATGAGTAATCTTATATTACATTTTCAAATCTTAGATTTAAAAAGAAAATTTTTTACGAATTCTTAACTCAAAATAATTTGCTAATTTTCGTGATTTTTCCATATTTTGTCAATTTTTGAACTTTAAATGCTTATAAAAAAAAATTGTGACTAAGGATTTTTAATATTTTTCATCTGCCTTTGAAACAACATATTAGGAGCCTTCTATTAAATTTTCAAGCTTTCGCAACCAACAAATAAAATTTTATTGATATTTTTAGAAAAAAAACTAAAAAAAAATGGAAAATGAAAATGTCCCTAAACAGTTCAAAATAAATCAAAATATTTTGACAATGTTATCGTGTTTAGAAAATGCAATTATAAACAACCAGTGAAAATTTCATGTATCTACGGTCATTTGTTTTAAAGTTACACAAAAAACCAAATTCGATTTTTTGGAAAATAGATTTTGCGTAAAAATTCCCGTTTTCCTTAATTTTTATGTTGTTTTTCCCGGCGCTTGTGAAAACTACTGGAAAATGTTTACTTTTGAACACCCAAAGTACTAACTAGATTCACTTTCCTAACAGAAAAGGTACTATTGAAGAAAATCGAAGCACTTTTACTGTCCCAAAACGTGATGACAGACACAAAAAAAAAAAAATATAAAAATATAAAAAAAAAAAAACACATCATTGTAAAACCAATACATTCATCGCTCCGCTCAGAATCTAAAATGAATCTGTAATAAATTCCAAATTAATCATATCACAATAGCCATTAGGAACTTATAACGCGTTATACACCAACAACAAACCCTGATACTATCATAGATATTATATTAGTAGTATACTTTAGAAGTTTCAAGTACCCCCATGATTCAGGGCCGGTTTTAAGGGGGGGCACCGGTGGGCAATTGCCCGGGGGCGGCAAAATTATCTCAGATAAAATAAACAAAAAATGAATTTTTTTCGTAAAGAGAAAGATTTCTAAAAAATGATATATTTTATGGCTGCATCCGAATTGCGTGCAGAAAAAAAGAACTATGTTTGACAACAACCGAATTGCGTGCGCGGTTTTTTCGAGACAGCCGAATTGCGTGCGTGGTTTCTTCATGACAGAGCTGAATTGCGTGCGCATATTTTATTTAAAGACAACTGATTTTCACTGAGCTGGATGTATCGGCCGGAGAATCATTTATCTGTATTTAATATAATAGCTATATATGGGTATTATCATTGATTATAAATACTAGTATGTACTAGTAGTACTATGTAGGGAATGGGACTTTTCGGTAATAAGATATAAGCTGATAATTTTTAAATGATAAATTGATAAATTATTCTTTGGATTATCTTTTTTAAAACCTGAGGATGTTCATAAATGTTTTGCTGAAGACCTCATGGCCATAAAACCAAATAATCAGCAATTGCATGATTTTTGTAATTTTTTCGAAAGAAATTATGTTTTACCAAATTCTAAATTTCCACCGTCATTATGGGCTGAATTTTCTAACTCATTGCATTGCACTACTAATTCATGCGAGTCATTCCTTTCGAAACTAAACAGTATGTTTTACTCTGCTATGTTTTACTCTCTATAATATTTATATTTTATATTTTATTTTTATCTTCGCAGCAAACTGCTATCCTTAAACAATCGATTTCGTCTTCTCCGCTCTCTCCTAACCTCCAAACACATAAAACTACCAACCAAGCTTCTAATATATAAACTTTATCTTAAACCAATGTGGACGTACGGAATTCAATTATGGGGCTCTGCAAAAATTTCAAACACTAACCGTATCCAACGCTTCCAATCCAAAACGCTCCGAGCCATAACTAAAGCACCTTTCTACGTGTCCAACCAGACCTTACATAACGATCTTGCCATCTCACCCGTCTGTGATGTAGCTAGAACTTTTTATAAACGATTTAACTTATCTGTTAAAAACCATGATAATCCCCTAATTAAAGGACTTGCGTCGGCAAACATACCCGACAATCCTAGGAAAAGACTAAAAAGGCGGTGGTGTCGGGACCTATTAATTTAGTTAATTACCTAATCTTTTTCTATTTATAAATAATTGTTAACTTATTGAAATAATGAAATGTATATAAACAGCTGACAAAGTGTCTTCACTGGAAGGCTTCTTAAATCCGTCCTTTCCTCAAGCCACTTATTCATTCAATTATCTATTTTACTTATTGTTCATATTTTTATTGTAACCGATTGTAAATAAAAATTATAAAAATAAAAAAAAAAAAAATATTTTATTTTTATTTTTTCTTATTTTTATAATATTTTGACTGTAATTTTAAATTACATTTTTTGCTACTCATATAAAATATTTAAATATAATCGTTTTTACGAGATACCTAATAATTTTATTGTATTATTACTTGAATTAATATTGTTTTAATAATTTGTATTCGAAGAGTAAATGTATTCTTTAATTATTTAGTGTAAATAAATCTGGCACACCGTGCGGCATCAACACTGTATCTCGCACGCAACTCTGCTCTGTCACAAAAAAACCGCGCACGCAACTCAACCCTGTTATGAAAAAACCACGCACGCAATTCGACCCAGAAAACGATTTTCGCACGCAACTCGGAACCGCCTTATTATTTATTTTTTAAATTCACATATGCATACATTTTTTTTACCTATATTTTATCATTTTAAATAAAGAGAAATAAACGTTATTAACTAAGTAGGTAGGTACCTAACATTATTAAATATTAGTGGGTTTATTTTTACTAGTAAACTGTAAAACTAGACGTATAGTATAACTGCGTTGGCCCGTATTGGCAAATCAGGATTATCGATTGTACTTATTTACTGGCTACTAAAATACATTTGTGTCATTTCATATTATACAACTTGCTAAACTCTATATGTCAGTGACTACGTACTCCGTACCTACATAATTTAAATCTCAATAAGTGAACTAATATAATAGAAATAAGAGTTTACTTTTTTTGA